ATACGTATTAGTCTTGATATATTATGACGTCCGTATTGTCATAACATTCGACTAAGGATATTTTAGACGTAGCCTCTATCTTTGTAATAGCCTCATAATTAGAACGTCGTAGTTCTCATCTGTGTTACTAGAGCGCCTACTCTATGGACTAAAGCTATGTTTAAATCACACGAGACTACTTAAACAATCTTTAGGGCCTATTGTTCTTGATATAATATAGATATGGAATCATAAGTTGGCCTCTAGGGCTCACATATATTCAACGGTCCAGCGGCGGCAGGTGGCGGTCAAAGGTCTCGGTCAACGGTCAAAGTCCAGTCAGCACCCATTTCTTTGATTTTATTTTTTCAAAAAAAATTCAAAGTGTTAAAAAAATATGGTGAGTTTTGCCTTACAATTTGGTGAGCTTTGTAGTTGTCCTTGGTGAGCTTTGCAGTTGGCAGTGGTGAGCTTTGCATCATCTGACCGTAGGATGTCATCTCACCGTAAGGTGTCATCTCACCGGAGTCAATCCCATATATATATATATATATATATATATATATATGACAAACTTAATTATCACATAATTAAAATGTCCAAATATTTATTTATATATATGTTTGTGTATTTAATCATATTGTCATACAATATAATACACACGATATATAAATAAAGTGCAACTTTACTCCACTTAAATATTCTACACTTTCATATGTTCTATGTGTGTGACCCTATTCTAGGCATCTATAATACTGGCCATAGTATAAAATACTACAAGTGATAAGCGGTATCTAGCAACACATTATCACCCCCAAATTATAGATTAAATCTCTTGGAACAATTCCTTCAACAACACATCCTATTTGTATAACTCTTATCCCTTTATCATTAATATCTTGATTTAACACAAGGTATGGGGTGTGTCACCTTGTCAGGGTTAAATCGGTGGTTTACTGATTCTTTGATTGACTTGTGGGATTCAAATAACATATTTATTTGGGCATGGCCATGCACTTCCCAAGTCACATCAATCAGTGGGCCCTAAGATATTATACTTCATTAAAGAAGGGATAAATTCTATCTACGTCATTCACATCTTCGCTTAAATTTCATTGCATACCCAAAACATAAATGTACATCCACCAATATTTCAGATGGCATAAATCATGCTTCAAAGTATACAACTCAACTTACCAAAGAATGTAATGACTTCAAGTCGAAGGATAGTTATACTAATGGTCGCATGAGAATAATATTAACACTTTAACTTAAACCCATATATTATTCTCATAGCGGGTCAATCCAGCAACATATCCAATATGTTTGCCTACGCATAGATTCAGATAACCCTTTTTCTATAGCCTATGAGACGCAGCTATCTCATCTCATACGTATTAGTCTTGATATATTATGATGTCCATATTATCATAATATTCGACTAAGGATATTTTAGACGTGGCCTCTATCTTTGTAACAACCTCATAATTAGAACGTCGTAGTTCTCATCTATGTTACTAGAGCGCCTACTCTATCGACTAAAGTTATGTTTAAATCACACGAGACGACTTAAACAATCTTTAGGGCCTATTGCTCTTGATATAATATAGATATGGAATCATAAGTTGGCCTCTAGGGCTCACTTATATTCAACACCTGGAGCTGCTCCGTGGTCACCCCCATACCGAACAGCACCTGGACCGCGTCCGGAGTCGAAGTAATACATCATGTGCCGTTGCCGCTACCCGGCGCGTTCTCCTCACCTACGACGTGGCTGGTGGTAGGAACGTTGCTCCTCGTTTGCACCATTCTCGCTTCCGGGAGTTAACCTACGAGTATGCTTCTCAGCTCTCAATGAAAGCACCAATTTGATTGCTATAAACCACCGAATATATTAAATAATATGAAGTTTAGAGAGAGAGAATGCAAAGTAGGAGTGTATTCACTTAGAATTCCGATCCTTTACAATGACGGGTTTCACCCCTTTTATAGGGGATACAATACACTTAGTCAAAGCCCTCTGATCGAGGTTCGTCGACTAGTGAACGTCACCTGTCCCTTAGTCTTGTCCCTTTCATCCTATCGCTTTCACTAAGTCCCTATCGCAAGTTGCTATCTTTACGTCGTTTTCATGTGGTCCGAGCTCGGCTTGGCAGGCCGAGCCGAGCCGGGAGGGCCAAGCGGAGCTCGGGTGTCGAGCGGAGATGTCCAAGCCCAGCGCTTCTCCTTTAGAAAGCTACGTGCTGACGTCATCCCTAGGCTGACGTAGGGTTATCCCCCATCAGATAGATAATTGGACAACGAATCACCTCGATTGACGAAGAAAGCTTGAATCGCAGAGAGAGAGAGAGGAAGAAAACACCGCTGCTCGTCACGGCTCGCGCGCACGCCGGCAGAAGTAGGAAAGAGAGAGAGAGAGAGAGAGGGAGATGGCGGCGGCGCTGTTTCTCTTGGATTGGAGGCTCACCGGCGGTGCTGTGGGTCGGCTGGACGATGGCGACGAATAGGGCACAAAAACCGGACGGACAAACGAGCGTAGAGAGAGAGAGATCCCAAGTGTCGTAACCCTCCCCTCTTATTTAATATAAAATTAAATAGGTTTTAGGTCCAGTTTACACTTTCTAACCGGTTAAGATAAACTTAAGCCCAATTACCTTATTCGGAGGTCGTATCTTGGGCCTAGTAAATCCGATTCTCAATCCGTTTGCACGGTCGGGTTTAGAACAGCGAACCCTACAATGTAGGTCAACTCTAATATTAAATACGCAAATTAGAAAATAATCTTCATATTGACCGCCTTAGTAATTAGTTAATTATATAAATTAATTAAAAATACTAAGTCGGGTTTCGGGGCATTACAACCCCAAGGCTACATTATATAGGGAGAGGGGAAGGAGAAAATAATACACAATACAATGAATGCAAACATGAGGAAGCTTCCTAGCAACAATCACTTTCAAAGCATGGGGTAATGTACTTTAATTCATGTCTCCTTAGTGGAATGAAATCATGGATGGGGCTGGGGTTGTGGGGTTTTGAGTTTTGGATGTGTAGTGGTTGTTTCCTAGGTTTTGTGGTTATTATTTGGGTAAAAATGGGGGGTTATTTTTGGTCAATAAAGGGGGGCAGGGCTGAGTAATATCATGGGTGGTTTTAAACTTATGGGTTTGGGTTTTTTGTGAGAGAACATGGGTAGGAAGTAGTGGCTGGTGGTGGGTCAGGGTTTTGGCTCTTTGTGGGTGTTGTGTTGGGGTTGTGAAGTATATCTTGGCCAATGAATGAAAGGAATAAATGGAAGGTTTTAGTTGTTTATTAAAAGGCTTAAAAGAAGGAAAATAACAACAAACAAAAGGTTTTGGTTTCTTATTTTTGACCAGGGGTTAAAATAGATGGAAGAGACTTTATTTTGGATAAAAGAAAAGATAAAAGACTTTTGGATATGTTGGGAGAGGTTGGGATTTGGGTGGAGCCATCCAGGGGTATAACAATTTGTACCCCATTTTATACATCACAGGGATGCACCAACATTTTGTGTTGGTGTAATGCTAATCTTTGTTAACGCACCAACACTTTGTGTCAGTGTAAACTTTTGTCAACGCACTAACACTTTGTGTCAATGTGAACCATCAAAATGTTGGTGCATACCTTTTGTGCACAAATGAGGTATAAATTTTGGGGTACATGTAACATGCTCCATATTAATCATGCATAAGCATAACCACCTATGACGTCAAACGGGGGCATGCATCTAATAGTCACTCCTCACTAGCATTGGATTATCTTATTTAGGAATAATTGTCCAAAATAATCTAAACTTTACTTGGTCTTTCAAAAACAATCCCACCTTTTAGTGTGATGCATAATAATCCGCACTTTATTGAAATTTGCGAGTTTTGGGTCGCCGTTAAGTTTCTAACGGCGGGTTAACGGAAATGCCTATTTTACGCAACAAAATGAAAGTTGAGATTATTTTTGATAAATTATCATTTTTTTTGAGTTTTTCATTTAAATTTTTAAAATTACTTTCTACCCCCATCATTTCTTTTTCTTTTCTAAAGATTAGTCTTAGTTCAAAAAAATAAAAATAATAGATATAAAAAAATGAGAAATGTAACTAAAATGATACAAAATAATAAAATAAATAAGGTAATCAATAGAAACAACTTGAAATTGGTAATAAATAAAATAAAAATATATGGAGTGGTGAGTTTTAATATTTTACGCACTTTACAAAGTATTAACGTATCACTTCTTATTTTTTAGAAAAAATTATCTAGAACAATTTAGTGTGTAAATTGTTAAAACCACCACTTCGTATATATGTATTTTATTTCTTACCAGTTTCATTTTGATTTCTTTTGATTACATATTATTTATTTCATTAATTTTGTATGGTTTTAGACTTTAGTTATTTTTATCATTTTCATTTTTTTATATCTATTTTTTTAAGGTAATAATAATTTTTAAAAAAGAAAATGAAATAGAGGTAGAAAGTAATTTCAAAATTTTAAATGAAAACTTCAAAAAAATATTTAAAAAAAATCATAAAAAATAATCCCAATTTTCATTTTTTTGCACAAAACAAGCATTTCCGTTAACCCTCCGTTAGAAACTTAACGGCAACTCAAAACTCACAAATTTCAATAAAGTTGGAATTATTATGCATCACAGTGAAAAGTGAAATTATTTTTGAAAGATCAGATAAAGTTGAGATTATTTTGGATAATTTTTCCTCTTATTTATGTATTTGCATCCTGCATTGGAATGTTGATTATGAATAGAATGAAGAAATATCTTGCCTGTCAAAATTTCTGTAGCGCCAATTGATTAAAAGTAAAACCAAATTGGAAACATAACAGCCACTTTAATGCCAAGCCAATTGCTAAAGCACATCGCATCATTGCCATATAAATATTTTTACTCTGATGAGAAATGGATTTCAATCTCTTCTTACACATCGAAATACATATAAATATATAACATAGCGCTACGAAATACATATAAATATATAACATAGCGCTACATGTTCACTTACAAGTTTGAATCATAAAACAACCACCCAAGGCAGGGAGCTGGCCGATGCAAGTGCGTTAATGAAATTCTATCCCCCAGTTCACGATCACTTAACTAGCCACTCCACTGCATAGTTCTTCATATATAATCTCTGATAAATACTCTTTTCCGAGTGTCACACTGGAACCTCAGTCCATTCGACAAAGGTATGATGCTTCCTGTTCCCACACCAGTTATACTTCTAGTCTATCTATATCAAAAAAATGTCTCCGAGAACCCTTCCCATCTCAAGTCCAAATGGTAGAATTAGTAAAAGAGTTCTGCTTTTGCCGTGGGGGGGAATTTTTATGGTTTGGCACTTAGTCATTGCTTCATTCATATGTCCGTTTCCTCTTTAAAAGGGTTGGTAGTATAATGGCAGAACCGATAAGGAAAAGAACCACCAAAGTTTTGAAGTCATAGAGATCTTTGACTGATCTTAAATCCCCAAGAGCAAGGCCAGCCTGATTATTAGTCAAATGTATGAACACGGCATCAGGTGTCACTTTTAGAAGTATTATCACTAGTAATAACAAGGTAATTTATTCATTTGAATTTCAAATGCGTCTTTTTTTCCTGAACTTCATTAAGAATAAACTAATAAACTATAATGTGTTTCACGTTTTCTAAAGTAGAGCATATGGGGAGTAGGAAGAAGATGGAATTTAAACCACAAGCTTTGTTCTTACGAGGATGGTACTCATATACATGAGTAGATGGCCACTATCTAGCAATAGAGTAAAGAGATTTGAGAACACAAACATGAGCACTAAGGTTTTGGTTCATCAGCTGTTTTGAGTGTAAACTGTAAAATCATATGTAGTCATCAGGATGCAATGGCAATGCAGCCAATCAATAAGTATTTAAAACTTACCCTCACAGTAATAAATGAGGCAGGGATTAGACCAATCACAGTAGCCAGAAAGAAAATATGAAAGGGTACATCCACAATTGGAGATGCCAAATTGATAAAAAGGTTTGGCAGTGTAGGAGTTACCCTCAAAAAAAGCATGTAGTTGAGTAACTTATCCCTGCGCTTGGCTATCTGGAATTACAATAGAAACGTTAATAAGTACGAAGAATAAACGAGGGAACCTGCTGTGGAAAAAACACTATTTACACTATGTTTGGTTCAAGGAATTTGGAAGGAAAAGTAAAGAAAATGGGTTTCCCTCATTTTCCTCACTAAAATGGAAGGATTTTGGTTCTCTTCTTGTACATTTTGCCTTCTTATTTTCTTTTCCTTCCACTTTTCTTTTCTTTTCCTCTCTAACCAAACAAAAAAAATGTTTTCCTTCTCATTTTCTTTTCCTTTCCTTCTCAAATTCCTTGATCCAAACATAGTGTTTAAAGAGGTCATAAATACCTCTGATTGGAAAAACCTCAACTTCTCCGGCCATAGTGAGGTAATTATAGGTCTTCCGAGTAACTTAGAAAGAAAATAGCAGGATGATGCACCGGCTGTAGCATTGATGACAACCAAGAAAAGTCCTTTGAGAACACCAAAGAGTGCTCCGGCTAGTAAAGACATGAATATAGTCCCAGGAATCATGAATGTTTGCATAAATATGTATGTTGAGCAGTACCCGAGAATGAACCGTGCAGGGTACATATCGGCATAGGTTGCTAGGTGTTCCCTGAAAGATATACAAAAGATGCATGAGCTTACTTTGCATAAAGCAAACAACCCAATATACTTTAACCACCTTGAGATCTGGGGGGAGGGTCAAGATGTACACAGCCCTACCCTTGTAAAATCCCTAAATGTTCAACTAGCAAGTAGCAACAGTTGTGAAAAAGGTTGTTAACAAGCTTCTGACTAAAACTTTCAAGGGCTTCTCATAAACATCTGATAATATTGTCAAGATATATTACACCACAAATTTACTATCCCGCATAAAGGAAATTAATGCTTGTTACTAGAGAGAGTGAGCATCATAAAATGTTGAGATAGTGTGTATGGCAGGTGGAGAATAGTCTCGACCTACGCATTAGTGGAAGCAAATAACAAAATAAAGCCAAGACTAATACATGTAATACTGTTTAAAGTGAAATTCCCAATCGATTGAAAGAAGATTGCTTCCTTATATGAAGGATGCTATGCCTAATAGTGGGCTAGGACTAAACTAGGATGTCCTATACGGATATACTTTAACATTCCCCTTAAAGCTTGAACATCAAGATGTTTTTAACTTTGGATTAGTAAAGACAAAAAACAACTCACCTCGCATAAAATTACAATGAGAAACACAAAATACACAGCACATCTAGAATATAACTGTGTTTGAAAGGATTCAGAACAAATGGCTGTAAACACAAATGCACCACCCCTGAGATTGGAGTTGAATGTTCCAGGGCTGACCAAACACAAAGCACGAATACACAAACTGCTTCAGAATAAAAAGCAAAATGTAAAAGATCACAACTGCTAGAATGGAGATCAAAGCACCAATATGAAAAGCATGCAAAGAGCATGGAGTATGGACACTAACAACCATATGAAAGGCATGGTGTAGGTGAATGATAATTAACACGCTGCCCCTTGAAAAAAGTGCACATGGAACAATCACTTAAATATAAGAAAACCATCAAAATACACAGAAAAGGGAATCAAAAGGTATTGTTGGGCTTGCCAAATGCACACAAAGCCATTGGCACAAACAATGGGAATAGAAGAGTATAAGAAAACGAGATATGATCAGAGAAACAAAGTTCCGGAAAATTCTCAACAGTGCATGGTGGTATGTGGAGATGATTCTAAGCAGCGCCAAGGCATGAAGTCACAAAAAGATTCCAAACTACGTGACAGTATTAGATTTCCTATAAAACAACCAATAAGTGTCCGACAATGAAAACAACTATGGGAGAAAATTGTTAACTACTGGAAAAATAAAACTAAAATGACCTAGGAAAGAGGCTCTACTACAACATACGCCCTCTGTCCCAAAGAACATTACCCGCATTCCCTTATTGGATGTCCGAAAAACAATTCCAAGTTAGCTTCTTCCCTTTTTAGTAGTGAATATGTGGCTCACAATATTTCTCTCTCATATAAATAAAATTCTAGCCATACACTCCTCACTTTTTGACATTTTTCTTAAATTTCGCAAAATTAAACATGAATAAAAAAATTGGGACAGGAGTAGAATATTGAGATATTGTGGGTTTGCAGTTGGCACCGCCATGCCAATAAGAGAAATCTCCCTCCTAACTACAAAAAAAGACAACATTTCCAATGGGAGTATTGTTACTAAAGAATATATTTTTACCCCCTCCGTCCAACAATTTTCTTCTTACTTCGACAGCCACACTTGCTAAGAAAATGAAAATGAGTGGTTGTAATCTATTAAGAAATAATATCAACCAAACAAATTATTCCTTGAATGTAATGAGAATAAAATTTTTAAGGCGCCCCAAAAAATAAAACAGAAATAAAATTGTATGACAGAGTGAGTATTATTTTCATATTATAAATGATTTTGTACAAGGCTCTTGGCCCAAGTTAAATACCATTGACCACAAAAGTCCAATATGGCCATTCTTTGAGGAATGGAGGGGCTAATGCCTAGAGGTGGCAATCGGATCAACCGGATCGGTTTCGGGTTGGATTTTTTCGGTTCGGATATCTTTCGGTTATATGTTATAATCGGTTCGGTTCGGTTCGGATCGGTTAAATTTCGGTTCGGATTTGATTTCGGTTCTATACATTTTTCGGTTCGGTTTGGTTTCGAGTCGGTTCAGATACGGTTCGGTTATAAATCAGTTCGGATACAATTTGAGTCGGATATATTTCGGTTTCAGGTCTTGTTCGGTTCGGATATATTTCGGTTTCGGATCAAATATATTTTGGATATATATTATTTTCTAATCTTCCCCTTTTGAGTTTTTAGTCATATTTTACAAATTTGGACTACAAATTATGAAAACATATATATTTAATTATGATATAAATTTAATATAATTAAATAGATTTTAAAATTTAGTTTTGAAATATAAAAAATTTCTCACATCTACTAATATACTTATGTATATAAATGAAAGGATAAAAGATAAATTCAAATAGTCTTATGTTCCATTTGAATAGAATTTGGTAAAAATTGAGTAAAATTGGGTGAAATTAAGTGAATTTTATTCAATTGAGTGCAAAATTTGTAAATTGTTGAGTATATTTGGTTGAAAATAGAGAAAATTAAATTTAATAGAGTCAAATATAATTAATTTTACACCTAANCATCTACTAATATACTTATGTATATAAATGAAAGGATAAAAGATAAATTCAAATAGTCTTATGTTCCATTTGAATAGAATTTGGTAAAAATTGAGTAAAATTGGGTGAAATTAAGTGAATTTTATTCAATTGAGTGCAAAATTTGTAAATTGTTGAGTATATTTGGTTGAAAATAGAGAAAATTAAATTTAATAGAGTCAAATATAATTAATTTTACACCTAAATGTAATAATGTAGATCAAATTTGAAAATGATAACAGTAAAGGGTGCTGCTAGAGAGTCTTTTCAAAATGCTAACACTAGCATTTAATTTTATTGACTAATATTGAGTGAATTGGTTTGAAACTAATCAAATTAACTCTCAAATCAATAAAATTTATTATAATGAGATGAAATTAGGATAAAATCTAATTATTCTATACAATTTATCATATATATATTCTTTTCGTCCCAAAAAGAATATCACACTTCACTATTTAAAAATTACGGAAATTTTATTTGTTTGTGCGTTATCATTTATATTACTCGTATAACTTATCTTTAATTTCTACATATAATAAATTTAAGGCATAAAAACTTGTACTTTTTTTCAAGAAGATAATCCATTTTATGAGGGAAGGAGCAAGTAATGTTACTGGTTCAAATGGTAAAATAAAAGTAAAAATTTAAAAATATAATATGCTTATTGAAAGGTAAACATAAGTCTGAATTTATCGATTTTAGTTCTAATCGAGTTCGGATATTATCGGTTTCAGATCTAATCGGTTTCATATCTAATCGGTTTCGGATTTTATTGGTTTCGGATATTATCGGGTTTGGATCTAATCGGTTTCGGGTTTAATCGGTTCGGATATTATCGGTTTCGGATCTAATCGGTTTCGGATTTAAATCGGATATGAATTATTTAGTTCGGTTTCGGTTCGGTTCGGATCATTTCGGGTTTTCGGTTATAGATCGGATCTTCATTTTTCGGATCATTCCGGTTTCGGTTTCGGATATTTCAGTTCGGGTAATCGGTTCCGGTTCTGTTTTGCCAGGTCTACTAATGCCCCGTAATATGAGATAAATGATTCATTTAAAAAAAGAACACATCCATAAATACATGGATGAAATGCCTAATAGTGGACTAGGGCTAACCTAGGGTTTCTTATCACATCCTTGAATAGAAGGATGAAATCCCTAACAGTGAATACATCCTTAACAAGTACTGACTCACATAAAGCATATCATCATCATCATTATAACCATCATCGTCACCCAAACATGTAGCTGACCAATTATTACCACTAATGGAAAAAAACTCCTTTTGCAGTTAATTTTTTGCATAAATTTGATTAACAAGTGAATAGCCAAACAATGATGGTCTTAAACATAGACTAATAAGTAACAAATTGTATCACAAATTACTATACTTTTATAGAACTGAAAAATAGGACTTTCTAACACAAGCTAGTATTCATCTAAGCTCTCGAAGTTCAAGCACAATGTAACTTTCTGTATGTTAACAAACAGATAGCTGGTTCTTATGTTATGAAAACTACAAATTAAAGGGCTTGGGTTTTTAGAGTGACAAATTTTTGAGAATCTAGTCGGAGGTCTAATCACTAATTCATTGAAGAAGGAAATTATCCAATGGCTCCCATTACTTATTATGCTGACTCATTCTTATTTCTTAGTTTTTTTTAAAATTCAAAACCGTATGTTAAAAAAACCTCCACCAAAGAAGACCTTAGGATTAGCCACTTTGATAGATAGTATGACTCTAGAATCAATTAATTTGTTCTCCTTACAATATAAAATTTTAATTCCCCCACTGATAGAACATTTTCGAAAGGTTTAGCTTCATAACAAATGTTCACATATAAATACAGAATAAAATAAAACCATAGAAGGAACACCCTGGAATGGTAGTTCTCTTTGAAAAAGTAATCATACTTGAGCATCCGAAGATCAGAAATGTTACGAGGAAGCTTGAGCTTCCCATATTCTGAAGCTGGCATTGTTAGGTATATGCAGACCAACCCGGTCAAGCACAACATGAACACAGCAAGAGCTGCCCCGAATTCCCAACAGCTAAGCGTAAATTTTCCCTCCTTGAAACGTTTGGCCGTTGGAGAGTCCTCTGCATAGGTGTCTGGTAGATCGAGAATCTTTTGCTCATCTCTGGCCAAGCGTCCCGTATCCACAGCCAAACTCCTCGGAGCCGCCATTACCCAAAGTGGAACACCGATGGGGGCGATCTTGATTGTAATGATGTTCCCAAAGAAGCCCTGTGTTTGACTATCCGAGCAGGGCCTCTCCAAGGGATTGCAACAAGATATTAGGGAAACCAAGATACCTCTAGGGTTTGCAATTCCCAAATCAACGAATCAGTGGGAATTTTCTTCAATAAGATGGAAAATTAAAAATTTCCAAATGTGAACACGAAAGGATTGTATCTGATGGCAAGATAACAAATAGGAGCTCTCTTCTAATATTATTAGTAGAGGTTAAGCATAGAAAAATACTTAAAAACTAAAACATTAAAGATATATTAAAATAGATGTTTTATCTTTTATTCTAAAAAAAATAAAAATATATTTACATTACCAAAAAATATAATAAAATGCTCATGCACAGTGGCATATTACCACGGTGGGAACTCTTATTTAGAAAATAAAAAATATAATAAAATGCTCATGCAAAAACGCTCTTCACAGTGGCAGCTCCTCAGGACGGGGCAGCGGCACTCCCAAATCTGTTTGGAGACGGACCCAATTGTGACTAATTGCGATCTGAAGCGAAAAGGCCGAACTTTCGCTGCGTGACCCCCTCCGCGGCTCAGGAACTGGATGGCTGTGGCACGTGCGCGGCGAATTACGACGGCGATCGATCTCTACAACGACTCTCATATGCTCTGCAATTCCGGATGCGAAATAAACAGCAGTGTTGCATCATCGGGACCTAGGTTGTGCGGCTGATTGCGATAGCAGTGAGACTTGCTTGACTACCTACCTGCTGCAGCTCTTCTTTGTTGCACAATGCGGTGGCTCCACGCAGTTCTTCTCCTAGAACCTAGGTGACACTCCTCTCTGATTACTTTCTGCTGATTGGATTTTTGGTATGCTAACAAACCAACGCTCTGATACCACTTATTGGGATAAACACACGCGGAAACAGTCCAAAGATTACAATCACAAAGCATCTTTTAAATAAGGATTGTTAAGGGGAAATAATGATTAAGTATGGTTTGAAGCTTCCAGCTAGTTTCCTGCCAATTTCTTTTTTCTTCTACCAAGCTTCCTGGCTTCTGATGGCTATAAACCACCAAATATATTAAATTATATGAAGTTTAGAGAGAGAGAATGCAAAGTAGGAGTATATTCACTTCAAAATCGGATCCTTTACAATGAGGGGTCTCAGCCCTTTTATAGGGTATACAATACAATTGGTCAAAGCCCTTTGATCGAGGTTCGTCGTTTAGCGGACGTCACCTGTCCCTTAGTCTTGTCCCTTTCATCCTATCGCTATCTCCAGGTCTCTATCGCAAGTCGCTATCTTCGCGTCGCTATCATGCAGTCCGAGCCAGGCTTGGGAGACCGAGCTAAGCTGGGGGAGGCCGAGTCGAGCTCGTGCGTCGGTCACACACAACCCCGGGATGCACCTTCACACACGCCACTAGCGTTACAACAAGTCAAGTGTTTAATGTCTAGGTGTTATGATCCATTTTGGGTTGAACTCATTGACACGTCCCACATTAAAGCCCGAACCATGACCCTTCTCTCCCAAAACCCAGCCTAGGCCGAAATGCCTACAAGCCCAACACACTCCCACATATCCAAAAGTATTTCATTTTCCTTTAATAACCAAAATAAAATCCTTCTCCTCCCTTTGAAGCCATGGCTGAAAATCCAAGAGATAAGGACAAACAAAATTGCTTTGTGTGTGTTGTTTTCTTTCCTAATATTCCCTACTTTGAATAAAACCTTCCCCCACCTTTCCCTACTTCAAACCCACGAAAATACATTCCCTTTTGGCCTTAGAATCCATCTCCATTCATCCCAATCCATTACAAAACACAAAAGACCAAATCAGGAGACAAGGATTAAACATGTCTTTTGTCTTGGTGTGAAAATCATTCAAAACCATCCCCCC